TAGTCAGAGGAACAATTGATATGGAAATGTATTCTTTCTTATGTCAAAAACTAGAACAGTGAGTAATGCTTAGCATCTATATGTAGCAAACATAGAATATGCATGCTAGGAATTCAAAAAAATCTTGTTCAGTGGGACTTATTTCCAAATAAATAGGCATATAATTAGACTGCACCTATCTAGTCCAGAATGGGCCTGGGATCCAACTATGTTAACATGTTTTTGTCTTTCTTTGTGGCATCATTATTTGTCTTTTCTTCCTGCATTCGTAGTCAAATTTTCAGATTTCTCATAAAATACCAATTATTTACAAAATTCTGCATTATCCTGTTGTTGTGTGCCTTCCAAGTCATTTCCAATCTGTGACAACCCCCTTCGCAGGATTTTCTTGGCAAGATTTGCAGGTTTCTTGGCGACTTCTGTAGTATATGTCTCTTTCATATAAATTGGTCCCCAAACATATAGAAAGCAAGGCAGTGCAAATCGCACACAGCGCGTTTGAACACTCTCCACCCACGTAGAATTCTGCCCATCCATCTTTCAGAATAGTTGCAAATTTCTTTACTGTGGCCACTTCTATTCTTTATATTGTTTGCTTAACAGCTACTTACAAAAACTTAAGAGGATAAGTGCATTCTTTATGCTCAAACAGTACCTTCAAACAGTAAAGGCTGTTCTTGCACTAAACCTCCTCAATCTATTCTTCTGAAACTTGGCAGGCTGGATCCCCTGACAAGAAAGGGCAACTATGCTTGCAAATCCCACCCAATTTTGCCAAGAAATAAATTACTAGCAGTTCACTTAGAAAAAATAAAATATGAAGGTGTATTACATACATAAACACACAGAGAGCATTTGGTTGAAGTACTCTTGGGCCTTTGCACATTACTCATTTATGGCACTATGAAACCACTTTTAACAGCTATGGTGCCATTAGCTGAAATATCTCCAGAAAATGTAAAAAACAACAACATTTGAGCCAATGGGCACCAATATGGTAGTAGTCCCTGTCATGTGCTATGTTTTCAATAAGTTTAAATTTTATCATGGTTTAATAGCTTTTAAAATTTTGTATGCTTTGAATTTGTAATAATGTTTGCATTAACTATTGTAAATTGTCTTGAGTCCCATGTAAAAGTAAAAGTTTCCCCTTAACATTAAGTCTAGTTGAGACCGACTCTGGGGGCTGGTGCTCATCTCCATTTGTAAACTGAAGATGCCTCCAAGGTCATGTGGCCAGCATGACTGCATAGAGTGCTGTTACCTTCCTGTCAAAGTGGTACCTATTGATCTACTCAAACTTGCATGTTTTTGAACTGCTAGGTTGGGAGAAGCTGGGGCTAACAACGGGAGCCCATCCCATTCTGCGGATTCGAACCACCGACCTTCTGGTCAGCAAGTTCTACAGTTTAGCTGTTTAACCCGCTGCGCCACTGTGGTCCATTTGAGTCCCAAACTGAGATATAAATAATCTGACAGTTTAAGAAACACTGTTCTAAGGAACCATTATATCTAAAATTTAAAACTAGAGCCTTCCCAAAGTGAACTAGATCATAATAAAAAAAATTACACCCATTTCTTGTGTCTAAATCCATTTCTTTGGATTTCCAAATTGAGATGTAGATTCGTGTGTGAATTGAATAACCTTCCAAACAGGTTGATCTAAAGCAAAGACAGTATGACCTTCATATCTGTTGGATCACTGTGCCAGAAAATGTAAATTCTAGACATTTTCTAGGTCCTATGACTCTATAGTATTCTTGAGTCCTTTATTTTAATAGGGTTTGCTATTATCTGCTGTTTTGCATATCCATACACACTGGGAACATATCCCCCATGGATACTGTACTATAATGGGTTTGGTGCATGCCTCAAGCCAGATTTCTGAAATCTCTCTCTGTCTGTGTATGTACAACCACCATATTTTCAGAACCTATCATTCCATTATTAACTTAGAATCACAGACCCTCTTTGAGCTCCTATACAAGCTACACCCTCTTCTCAGTATAACCTTCATTCGTCCCATTAAAAACAATGGCGTTTGTTAATATCCACAGTTTCATGTATTGAAATGAAGTCTAGGAACATATCCCCTGCATAGATGGTGGGTCATAATGTATGTGCCTTCTAGTTGTTAGGGACAATTCCCAAAAAATACAGCAGAGCATCCAAAACTACAAACATGATACTTATAGTTTGAGCATTCAGCTCACAGCAGACAGAGTGTGAAGTGTTGTAGTCAGAAAAGAATTTAGGGTTTAGGATTCAAAGTTGCAGAGTTCAATTTTTAAAGTTACACAAGTTTTATTTACAAAAATAATAACTACATTTTTAATAGTAAATAACTGGGTCTCAGCCACTCCATCTTTTCTAGGGTTCAAAAGAGAGGGGGAAATCTCCAAGTACTACATCTCTTCTGACACACCCAAGCAGAGAAAGGTGTCAATACACAGATGTAAAAAAGCAGAAGTATGAAACAAAGGCATGCACCTGTAAAGTATCCATTCTACATAGCCAATCAGAATGAGAGCAGAAAGAGGGAGAAGATAACCAATAGACACATTCCATCTGTCATTCAGGAGCCAGGGGGAAGGGATTCCCTCAGTCTATACCAGTGGTTCTCAACCTGTGGATCCCCAGATGTTTTGGCCTTCAACTCCCAAAAATCCCCAACAGCTGGTAAACTGACTGGGATTTCTGGGAGTTGTAAGCCAAAACATCTGGGGACCCACAGGTTGAGAACTACTGCTTTAGATAATACTATATCACCTGGGGCTATTAGGAATTGTGGGAATTGGAGTCCAAAACACCTAGAGGGCCCAAGTTTGCCGGAACAAACGTGCTGCATCTAGATTGTAGAATTACTGCACTTTGATGCCAAACTAGCATGGCTCAATACAACTAAATTGTGGGAGCTGTCATTTAACCAACTCTTTAGCCTTTCCTGCCACATAGCGCCCCACCAAAGCTGCAACTCTTGGGTCTCCATGGGGAGCCATAGAAGTTAAAAGTGCTATCAAGCTGTCTTCATTCTAGAGTGCAGATGCACCCGTCTTTTCGCCTTCTCAGGACTCCCCAGCCCAGCGTTTCTCAACCTAGGGGTCCCAAGGGGGTTTCAGAGGGATCACCAAAGACCATCATAAAACATATATTTCTGATGGCCTTAGGAACCCTTTTGGCAGTGAAAGATGAAGATCTCTCCAGTGTCCTTCTCTTCCTTTTTGGAAAACAGATGGCAAATCCTCCCACCAAAAACTCTCCTCCCCTGTGATTGGCTGGCCTCTCAGGCAGCCTCTTAGTCAAGGAGAGGGCTGTTTCTGAGACTCCAAGGGGGGGGGGGGAGAGCAGGCGTGCCTGGTGCATGGCTGTGTGGCACACATATGCAGGCAATGGAGCATGTGTGTCTGGAGGGAGGCTTGTGCCAGTGTGTCCCTTCAAGGCCTCTCAGCCAAGGGGAGGGCTGTTACTAAGACTCCAAGTGGGGAGGGGACAGCAGACATTCTCAATGGCAGCTTGGTGCACATGTGTGGATGAGGGAGAGCGTGTGAGGCTGGAGGGAGGCTCACACCAGTGAGTCCCTTCAAGACATGGGGATTCTGTGTGGGAAGTTTAACTCAATGCTATCGTTGGTAGGATTCAGAATGCTCTTTGACTGTAGGTGAACTATAAATCCCAGCAACTACAACTCCCAAATGTTAAGATCTATTTACTGCAAACTCGACCATTGTTCACATTTGGGCATATTGAGTATTTGTGCCAAGTTTGGTCCATCATTGCTGGAGTCCACAGTATTTTCTGGATGTAGGTGAACTACAACTCCAGAACTCAAGCTCAATGCCCAACAAACCCTTCCAGTATTTTCTGTTGGTCAAGGGAGTTCTGAGTGCCAAGTTTGGTTCAATTCCATTATTGGTGGGGTTCAGAATGCTCTTTGATTGTAGGTGAACTATAAATCCTAGCAATTACAGCTCCCAAATGGCAAGGTCTATTTCCTCCAAACTCCATCAGTGTTCAGATTTGGGCATATTGAGTATTTGTGTCAAGTTTGGTCCAGATCCATCATTGTTGGATTATACAGTGTGTAGGTGAACTTTTTTTTTTGTTGTGTCAGGAGCGACTTGAGAAAGTGCAAGTCGTTTCTGGTGTGAAAGAATTAGCCATTGCCCAGGGGACGCCGGATGTTTTGATGTTTTTACCATCCTTGTGGGAGACTGCTCTCATGTCCCCACATGAAGAGCTAGAGCTGATAGAGGGAGCTCATCTGCGCTCTCCCCAGATTCAAACCTGCGACCTGTCGGTCTTCAGTCCTGCCAGCACAGGGGTTTAACCCACTGCGCCACTGGGGGCTCCTTGTAGGTGAACTACAACTCCAAAACTCAAGCTCAATGCTCACCAAGCCCTTCCAGTATTTTCTGTTGGTCAAGAGAGTTCTGCGTGCCAAGTTTGGTTCAGTTCCATTGTTGGTGTTCAGAATGCTCTTTGATTGTAGGTGAACTAATCCCAGCAACTACAACTCCAAAGGACAAAATCAATCCTCCTCCCCCTCCCCTCCCACCAGTATTCAAATGTGGTATGGGTATTTGTGCCAAATTTGGTCCAGAATGAAAATCCATCCTGCATATCAGATATTTACATTACGATTCATCAGTAGCAAAATGACAGTTATGAAGTAGCAACGAAAATAATTTTATGGTTGGGGGTCACCACAACAGGAGGAAGCATATTAGTTTATGAAAATCCATCCTGCAGATCAGCTATTTACATAAAGATTCCTAACAGTAGCAAAATGACAGTTATGAAGGAGCAACCAAAATAATGTTATTACGGATAGTTGGGGGGGGGGGGGTCACCACAACATGAGGAAGGGTGGGAGACCCTGCCCTAGCCTTTGAGCCACGCAAGCTTCCCTGCTCCAAAACTTGAGCCTTCCTTTGCGGAATCCAGGGAGGACGAAGTGGGAGAGGAGGAGGAGGAGGAGGAGAAGGAGGAGGAAGAGGAGGCACGTGCCTCGGGGAAGGGAGCCTCCTTCCCCTCCTCCTTCCTTCCTTCCTTCCTTTCCCCTTTTCCTCCTCTTCCTCTTCTCCTTCTCTCTTCCTGCAGCTGCTGCTGCTGCCTTGCCGCCTCCCTCCCGCTGTTTTTGCCGCAGAAAGGGAGGATAGCGGAGGGAGAGGAGGCGAGGGCGGCTGCAGAGGCGGCGGCGGCGGCGGCGGAGCCTCTTGGCAGGACTTGGGGGCGCCGTTGCCCCTGCAATGGAGGTCCCCTCCTCTTCCTCCTCCTCCTCCTCCTCCTCCGGGGAGCAGCAGCAGCAGCAGCAGCGCTACGCGGAGCTCTTCTGCCTTTGCGGCGGAGGCGGCAGCGGGAACGCCGCGGGCTCCGAGGCAGGCGCCTCTGGCAGCAAGGTGGCCGAGYTGTTCCGGGCGTCGCAGCTCCCTCCCGAGGCCCTCCTCCAGGTGAGGCAAGAGTGCTCCTGGACATGTGCAGAGCGCAACCCCCCCCCCCCCAGGGCATCCACACCAGGCATGGGCGCATGTTAGCCTTCCCTCCAGGTGCTTTGGACTTCCACCATCCCTAACAGCCTCAGGCTCTTCCTTTTCCCCCCTCAGACCCTTAAGCGAGGCTCTTAGGGATGGTGGGAGTTGAAGTCCAAAGGACCTGGAGGGAGGGCTGAAGTTTGCCCATGCCTGTTCTACACCAGATAAACCCAGTATTGTGAACGAATATGGAATGGCTTAACGATGCAAATGGACATGGATTTCAACCCAGAAGTCATTGATTCTAATAGTTTTAAATTGTTTTAAAATTAATTTTATTACGTGATTTAACCTGTTTTAAATGATGTATTTATGTGTGTTCGGCATCTAATTGTTGCCAGTCTGTACGCCGCCCTGAGTCGTCTTTGGGCTGAAAAGGGCGGGATAAAATTGTGACAAATAAATAAATAAATAAACTGTAGAATTGTTTTTCATGCCAGGTGCCACTTTATTTATTTATTTCGTATCGTATTGCATGAATTAGTATAAAACTGATAAAATAGAAAGTGTGCAGGCATCTAAATGTCTTTTGACCAAAAACGGGCAACAGCAACGGCATTGTCTGTAGCCTCCAACAATTCATCCTATGTACATGAGACAGGGCATAATGGACAAGCACTTGACGAACTGCAATTCGCTTCTGGTGTGAGAGAATTGGCTGTCTGCAAGGACATTACCCAGGGGACGGCCAGATGTTTTACCATCTTTGTGGGAGGCTTCTCTCATGTCCCCAAATGGGGAGCTGGAGTTGGCAGAGGGAGCTCATCCGCATTCTCCCCAGATTCGAACCTGCGACCTTTTGGTCTTCAGTCCTGCCTGCACAAGGGTTTTAACCCACTGCACCACCGGGTGCTCTTAGTACCACATGGGCCCTTCCACACAGCCCTGTATCCCAGAATATCAAGGCAGAAAATCCCACGTTATCTGAGTGTGGACTCAGATAACCCAGTTCAAAGCAGATATTATGGTATTTTCTGTCTTGATATTCTGGGATATAGGGCTGTGTGGAAGGGTGCTTGGACCTCTATGGCTCAATGCTCTGGAATCCTTGGAGTGTCTGAGAGTGATGCAGTTCCCTCACTCAACTGCAACTTCCACGATTCCTGCAGGTTTGAGCCATAGCAGTGAAAGGAGTGTCAAACTGCATTAGTGTATAGAGAGGCACCTTCTAAGGGCCATTCCACACAGCCCTATATCCCAGAATATCAAGGCAGAAAAATCCCACATTATTTGAGTGTGGATTCAGATAACCCAGCTCAAACCAGATATTGTGGGATTTTCTGCCTTGATATTGTAGGATATAGGGCTGCGTGGAAGGGCCCTAAATGAGTTCTCTTTGGACAGAAAAAGTAGCTCCAATGGAGATTTGGATGAAAATAAATAAGCTGGATGAATTCCCTCTATGTTCTGAAAGCCTTTTTCCTTCCCTTGAGTGTTTTCTCTTTTGGAAAGGGGATTCATTATCTTTTGAACATCAATAAAGGTAGAGCAGGTCTGGGCAAACTTGGGCCCTCCGGGTGTTTGGACTTCAACTCCCACCATTCCTAACAGCCTCAGGCCCCTTCCTTTCCCCCCTCGGCCACTTAAGCAGCTGAGGGGGGAAAGGAAAGGGCCTGAGGTTGTTAGGAATGGTTGGAGTTGAAGTTCAAAACACCCAGAGGGCCCAAGTTTGCCCAGGCCTGAGGCAGAGTCTCCCATCTCTGAAATAATTTGGACCTGAAGCATCTTGGATGTTAGAATATATGTATTCAAGTTGTGTTTCCCTGTTCTGAAATGCTTGTAATCAGAAGTGTTTTGGATTTTGGAATATATATATCTACAAGTTGAGTCTCCCTTCTCCAAAATGTTTGGGACTAGAAGGTGTTTTGGATTCACATTTTGGAATATGTTCTGGTTGAGTCTCTCTTTCCCCTACGTGTTTTGGATTTCCGATTTTGGAGTATATAGCCATACAGATTGAGTGCCCTCCCATACAGCTGAATAAACCCTATATTTTCTGCTTTGAACTGGGATATATGGTTATGTGGACTCAGGGCCCTTCCACACAGCCCTATATCCTAGTATATCAAGGCAGGAAATCCCACAATATCTGCTTTGAACTGGGTTATCTGAATCCACACTTAGATAATGTGGGATTTTCTGCTTTGATATTCTGGGTTATATTGTTGTTGGGTTATATTGGTCCCTGAGTCCTCCTTCTCCTAAATACATGAGATAGGAGTGTTTGGGTTTCGGATTTTGAAATAAATATATCTATTCAGGTTGAATCTCCCTTCTCTAAAGTGCTTCAGACCTGAAGTATTTTGATTTCAGGTTTTACTGGATTTTGGAATCCCTGTATTTGCATATACGATTACACGCATAATGAAATAGCTAGGTAGTGGAACCCAAGTCTAAATACGAAACTAATTTATGCTTCAAATATAGCCTAGACATGTTGCCTGAATGTAATTTTATACTGTACTTTAAATAATTTTGTGCATGAAATCAGGTTTGTGTACATATTTTTAATCGTGTCAGAAGCAAATTGAGAATATACTGCAAAGTCACTTCTGGTGTGAGAGAATTGGCTGTCTGCAAGGACATTGCCCAGGGGATGCCCGGATGATTGATGTTTTACCATTCTGTGGGAGGCTTCTCTCATGTCCCCACATGGGAAGCTGGAGTTGACAGATGGGAGCTCACCCCACTCCCCGGATTCAATGCTGTGGGCACAAGGGTTTAACCTATTGCGCCACTGGGGCTCCTTGATCCATCAGAATACTAAAGTGCCACTATCTCAGCCACCCATGTGTACAATTTTGGATTTTGGGGGAATTTGGATTTCAGAAATCTGGGTGAGGGGTGTCCAACCTATAACACTAACATTTCCTACTACAGTGGCAGCAAAGAAAGGTGGTTGGGGTTTTTTTCTGTTAGAAATTGTCCATGCTCTTCTCTTGGAATGCATAACTTAGGAAGTTTCATGCATTCTATTTAATGGTTATGGAGAATTCCTAGACCCTTGTTTGAAACACTGATCTCTAAACTAAAAGTTAGAATCATATCTCTTTCAGTTATAGAAACAAGTTTTGAGGTTGTAAATTTGCAAACCTATATGCTTTACGACAGCTTTACATCCTGCATAACTTCTTGGACAAGAAACTCAGGTGAAGAGACAAAATCCTGATGTGAAAAATTAGTAGCTGGAAACAAAATTTTAAGCCCCCAAATAATATGCATCAACAATAAGAGCAGAACAACAAAGCATACCTGTATTTTACATTGTGGACTGCAATGAAATTATTTCTCTTAAAAGACCAAAATAAGAACCTTTCTCCCACTCAGGCCATTCCACAGATATATAAACTCCATTTTCCTAGTTTCCAACAGATGTCCCAACCTCTGAGGATGCCTGCCACAGATGCAGACGAAATGTTAGGAGAGAATGCTTCTGGAACATGGCCATACAGCCCAGAAAACTCACAACAACCCAGTGATTCTGGCAATGAAAGCCTTCGACAATACATTAAATCTAGAAACCAGATTGATGGATCGCTTAATCTATCTTGTTCTCTATCCATCTATACATAAAATTTGGGACTTCTGGTTTCCTTTGCCCCCATCATATGGATCTAGGTTCTTGGTTTAACCTTTTAAGAGGAATAATTTCATTGCAATACACAGTACTGTTCAAATATAGCCCCCATTATAATTTGGCCACTTCTTTCCTCCCAGTTTTTAAAAGAGCTGCTAATACGCACTTGAAATGGATTGCTGTAAGTTTTCCGGGCTGTGTGGTTATGTTCCAGAAGCATTCTCTCCTGACGTTTCACCCACATCTATGACAGGCATCTTCAGAGGTTGTGAGGATGTCTGCCATAGATGTGGGTGAAACATCAGGAGAGAATGCTTCTGGAACATGGCCACACAGCCCGGAAAACTCACAGCAATCCAGTTATTCTGGCCATGAAAGCCTTTGACAACACGTTGCACTTGATATGTTTGTAATGGCTGAATGCTGCTGATCAGCTATTGATTTATTTCATTTATATGCCACCTTTCTCCATGACCCAAGGCAACTGGATTTGTTTGGTATGATAAACAACTCATTTTTCTGTCCAGGAACTGGTTTGGAGATTTGTTCAGGAAGGCAGCTTTAGCTTTATGCTGTCTCATCACCCCATTTCCTCTTTCCTCTGAAGTCCACAACAAGAGACAAAAACAAATAAAAACCATAGTAATGGCTACAGCTGCGCATACACATGACAGTTTATTTTGGTTATCTGTATTACTCCTCTGTTCCCAGCTGCAAAAATGCTTTTGCTGTTTTTCTGTAATAGACATTATTCCTTGATCTGTGAGTTCTGTTTTGTTTTTCTGGCCAACAGCCATATTGCCTCCCTCTCAAAATTTGACTCATGAGCCTAACAAGACTACTTTACATGTTTTTTTTAAAAATGAATTAACAAAAAACAACCCCTTCGGTTATCCAGGCGTAGTTAATACTTTCCTGTCTTACTTTCTCAGCTGCTATTAAAAAGTCCTGGTTTCTGTTTTTGCCTTCCATTTTGCACCTTCATCATTGGCATGCTTAATAGAAACTCAATTCAAAGTGCAGAAGTTGCTTTCAGTTATTTAACCTAGACCAATTGTTCCCAAACTGTGGCCTGTGGACCACCAGTGATCCGCAAGAATGAAAAGATGGTCTGCGGCCTCAGGGGCGGCTCGTCCATTACATGAAGTAAGCGGTCGCAGAACACTTTTTTTTGCCAGGGGTGCAGAGGCTCCTTGACTGCCACTTGAAGAGCGCCCCCTCAGCTCACAACAGCCCTAGCAGTCCTCTTCTATATCTACTTCTTTTTTTTCTTTTTTTTTCCCGGGTGCAGAGGCACCTCTGTAAATGTCCCTCGATTGCCACTTGAGGAGCGCCCCCTCAG